TTAGACTTTACATGAGGAATAACTTTTTTTTCAGTGAGAGTGGTGAGACAGGCACAGGTTGCCCAGAGAAGCTGTGAATACCCCATTCCTGGAAGCGTTCAAGGCCAGGTTGGATGGGGCTTGAAGCAACCTGGTCTGGTGAAAGGTGTCCCTGTTCATGGCAGGGGTCGGGTGGACTAGATGATCTTTTGAAGGTCCGTTTCAACCCAAACCATTCTATGGTTTTATGATTCTATTTGGCTGTGTTTGCTCTTCACCTGCATTTTTGTTTCTTCATTGCTTTCTGCTTCAATCATGAATCTAAATTCTTGGCAAACTTCAGTTGATTCTGTTTCTCAGATTTTAGCTAGTTAACATAGACAATTCTGCATTGTTTTTCCTGCTGTTTTACTGTTCCCTTCACCGGATTCTTCTACCAGAGATTTAGTGTTATAATTCAAAATTTCTGGTCATCACATGTATTATATAATCATCTTGGATTACATAAATTGGATATCATTATTTTAATTTAGAAGCAATAACATTACCCAAATCCATCAAATTAATCAATGTGTAACTTATTTTTAATGTTACATTGTCTTTAACTAATATTTTCTTTTATATATGGAAATTGATCTGACAAACAGTTCCCTAACTAAGCAGTGAATGTTTTGATTGTTTAGTAACAACATTTTTAATCATTTGGGAAAGTAGGTAGAAATAAAAACTGGTTTACAATTTGCATAAATTACAGAAAAATAAACATCTTAGCATGATTATTGAGAAGATAAACATCATACAATAAAAAACAGTGTGACCTTTTATGTGTAAGTTGTAAGGTATCTTTAGCAATGCAGAACTATCCTTAAAAATATAGTAGATCTCTCTTCTTACACATTAGCTGCAATATTTTTCACTTCTAAATTATTTTTTTCTCACATGCTAAAAATGTTTTGGCTTATGTTACATGTTGTTGCTAAGATTTTCACTGAAATTGAAGCTTCTGAAATTGAAAGTTCAGGACATTTTTTACATAAAGATTTTGATTCTGAAGTTCTTAACAACCCTACAAGTCCTTTCCATGGGCAAATACAACCTGTTTTCTCTTTAAAAAAAAAAAAAAAGAACCTGACATTTCTTAATCTGCAGGCTTTTCTTTGTAAACCTGGTTATATTTCTCGCCAAGATTCTCCTTCTAAGTTACCACTCAGCCAACCTAACCTTTCTTTGAGTTTCCTGATTCTTTTATCTTTCTGCAAGAAGTTTGGATTCCTAGCTCTAAAGAATACACTTTCCCAATCTATTCCTCCAAAAATTTCCTTCTCTCAGTCATCCTATTTATTTTGCCAAAGGTTCCAGCACTAATGCTGTTTGCATTTTATTTTCCAATCCCCATTCTTCTTTCACCAAACCATATTTGTTCATGAGATATCCACCTAGTACACATTGACTGAAGAAGTAAACTGTAAAATGCCTATGTTGAGAGACCTGCCTAGATTCTCTGTAATAAACAGAAGTTTATCTGTCAGAACAATTCCAAGCACCTGTGCTAGACAGTAGAACCATCCCACTCTGCTCCTCTCGTTTTTAACACATCTCCTGATTAAGTTTCCTTCTTGGAGTGCTGCAGTGTCTACAATAGAATGACTTTAATGTCCCCATTTCTCAGATGCACTAACTCATATCTAAAATATAGAGCTTCCCTGACAAAATTAATCTTTGCTTATCTCCTTGGTCTCCCTTCTTTAGGTTCTTATCCGCACTTGAAAGTTAAACCACCTTCTACACTGTATAATCTTAAGAGCTACGATTTAGTTTTGCACAAGTGGTGTGTTACTATTTACCAATAGCATTGTATCTTTCTCTGCAGATGTCTTAAACTCCCTCCCAAGTTTCTTCCTTCCTAATCTGGGTAGAAATAGAAAGCATCTCTTTTTCTAGCTCTCAGAATGCTAGGCTATTCAGAACACATTTCTCTCTGATATACTGCTTCTGTGGTCCTCTGCTTTTTGCCCTTGCTACTGCTAGAAGCAGCTGTTTAATGAGCAGTATTCCCCCTGAATTGACTGTGTGCCTGTTGAATGCAGCAAAACCTATATTTTTCTTGTATCAGGGAAATAATTTCTGATATGTAACCCAAAACTCCTAGGCCACAGTGCTGCACTCATTCAAATGTACAACATTTTGTCATAATTAAATAGTAAACTCTTTAGATGTTCATTACCTTTTTCCTTTTTTAAAATTTTTTTTAATATTAATGTCCAGTTAATTTCCATTTAGAAAATGACAGAAATCTCTCACCAAAAGAAGAAGAATCCATTCTTGCTCTAAGCACTTTGCAATTAATTGCCTCACTTAGACATTTAAAAGCTAGATGGCTACATCTGAACTACCTCAGGCTCCCTTTAGAATCAACAGAGAGAAATGGACGCCCCTAGAATACAATTCATGTCAGTGTATGACAAGAATTTAAGATAGCTGAAATGACTAAGCATTTGCAGAGAGCTTTTTCTAATGCAGAGTAGCTTAGACTTGTATATCTAACTTTCAGAAATCTAAACTTAGATGAATTCTACCCCAGAACTCACTAAAATGTCTCCTCTTTTCTTTGTGTTTTTTTTTATTTTTTAACATGTACAACATGCAAATAGAACAGCTTGGACCTTTTAAAGAAAATATCCAGCATTAATTGGAAGGATTCTTGGCTTTTAATCTAGTTTCCAGTCATGACAACATCCAGACTATAGTCTGTCTGAAATATCCTACTTTCATTAAAAATCTAATACTCAAACTAAATTTCCTCATTTTGACCATTCTGCTCCATTTTAGACTGATTTGCTGAATTTTTGGATCCTAGCCTTATTAGCATGAACATTCTAATACCTGTCTTATCTGAGTCTGCTCTTCCCAGGCAGTTCACGTATGCCATAATATATTCAAGAGCAAAACTGTTATTTGAAAAAGGATATCTTTCTTCCAAGGGCAATGAGTTCCATGTTGGAACTCATTGGATACTCTGACTCATTTTAAATATTTTATCTTAACAGTGTCCTCCTCTGCAAGACTTTTGATTTGGTTTTGAAGGTGATAACTCAGCTCTGTATGTCCATGTTACAGAATTGTTATTCAGACATTCCAAGCTGATTTAAAGTTATCCCTGGGCCTTCCTGTTTCATGAAACTTTCTAGCCCAGGATAATCTGTCTTTTCCTCCTAATCTTTTCAACAGTTTTGCTGTTCCATGTTATGATTCCCAAGTTTACCTGAAATATCTCTAGAAAGTTTCCAGATGATTTTTGAACTCCAGTTTCTGTTCTGTATCCTTTCTGGATTTCTTTGGCCATCTTTGTTATCTGCAAGGACCTCAATTTCCTATTGCATGTTGATACAATATGATTCTGTTCCATTTCCTGTTACTTCCTTGGAAGTAATTTCTCTTCCAAACAGTAGTTCACTTTGAGCAGTTAACAAAAATATGACTTTTTTATTAATTTTGTTTGGCTATACAAAGAACTTTATGTTAGTCAGAATTTTTAAAGTCATATATACCTTTAAAGGAAGTAAAAACAAGCGACACAATCCATATTTATAGTTTTAAGCTTTTCTACTCCACATTCTTCACAAAGTTCTTTCGCTTCACTTCCCTCCAGACTATATTTTTAGTGTTTCCTTTGCCAATATCCTTGGATTTGCTTTTTTTTCCCAAACCCAGATGAACGTATCCCTACCAGACAATGTCAGTTTTCTGTATCAAAGCTGTTAAGAGCCACTAGACAGACTTTGCTCATGCAGTACAGCAAACTGTTGATCAGAGCAGCTGTTTTTCTGAAGAGGTTGGTGCTTCTTCTGGTACCTTCCCTTCTCTGCCTCTGACTCCTTTTCTCTGTCTCCTAAGCCATGCTTGCATGATAGGTAAATAGGCAGTGCCTATTTAGTGTCTAATTCTGAGAGACACTCTGTGGTACTTAATGATTCCAGAAGAATATAATCATCACACACATAACATTTCAACAGTTTTCATGGCAAGAAAAAATGTGCAAGTTTAAAATACATTACTGCCAATCTTGCATTCTGACTAGTGAAACACACTTTAAAAATGTCAACACAAGATGGCAGTAAACAAGTATAGAACATGCCATATAAACATTGTGGACGAAATGACTCTGTGGGTAACAGTGCCTTGAAGAACTTCAGCAGAATTAAGTAGCTGTCAAATGAACCCATTTGAACAGTGAGTTAATATTTATAGGAGAACTTAGTCTTGTTCATCTATAATAAATTATCTTTATTAATTGATTCTTTGTTACATTGATTAAACATTTAGAATGCTGAAGCTGCAGTTGGTGATTCTAGTTTAAAGAAGACTTTGACCATGTGGTCAACTTTGATCGATTCTGCATATTCAACTCTGCTTTCATTTTTAGTTTTCAAAGTTGACACATAGTTATGAAAAGCTACAATCACATAAGTTAAATCAAAAACAAGTTGAGAGTAGAGAAAAACATGAGGAAAGCCTAGAGACACCATCGGACCCAAGGAATTTATACAAGAAGCTGGAGGTAAGAATACTTTGCTATTATATTCTGATTTTAATATGCCTTTAGAGCTAATTTATGATTTATAGTTGTAAGCCTTAATTTGCTCATAATTCTACAAAAATTATATCATTTTCTTGCTCTGGTAAGAAAGGTGCATAGTTAATATTAATTGATATTAATATTTTTTGTACGTATTACTATAAATAAATTTAACTGTTTTCCTGGTTAATATATGTGTACTGAATAATATAATCTTGTGAGGCATGAGACCTTTAACATGTGCAGGACACTGTCACATAATACCTGCCATTAATTTATGTTTTATAGACCTCAGGATAACCTTGACCATGCAAGGCTACATAGATAAAAGGATTTAGGGTTGGAAAACTGCTTGTTACACGTGTCTTGTCAGCACCCAAGTACCTGAGCCAATCCACAACCTTGACCTCAGTGCCTGGTTTCCCTAGGTAAAGCATTAGGGAGGATCAGGCACTTAAAAATACATTCCACAGAATCCAGCATACTGGTTGGAGAACTACATAATAGGTGCTGAGGATAGGATTCAGTCATATTCCCTATCCCTTTGGACACAGAATGGATTTTAGCTGACTTTTGCTTCGATACAGGAAAATACTGATTTCTGATCATAATTCCTGGCCTTGACTTCTCGGAGTTAAAGGTTACTTTATGACTTGTGGAATAATCAAATATTTTTTAGACCAACAAGAGAGATAGGCAACACAGAGAACTGGCATGTAGAGAGTGTGACTGCAAGTGGTGGCTTCTCCCCAAACACCCTTCTGGTTACAGTCACTGGTGCAGAAACTGATATCCAGTCTCATTTCTTGTAATTGAAAGATATAATCTTTAGCTGTGCTACTTTTTGCTGCTTCTTTTTTACTTACTCAATAAATCTGCTGGTATTCTGTGCAAAGTGAAGCAACTTCAAAAGGAAGATTTCCAGACCCTGGTGAAAAATAACATTTGTCTGTAGGTAGAAAACTAACATGGGAAGATTCTACTTTTTGTCTGGAAAGATTATTAAACTGAGTCTTCCACATATGGGCAGAACAGTCCAGCTAGTAATCTGATGAAGCATAGGAGGATCACAAAACAAATTTATATTTTCTCTGTCCATCCTTTGTAAAGAGCATAACAAAGCAGTGTGTGCTTCAAGCATTTACCAAACTGTGGCCTGTAGGCAAAGCAAGCAGAGGAATACCAGCTGGAAGTGAGAACTAGTTGCCTAGCTGCTAAGCATTGGGAAGACTTAAAGCTTTATGATGTAGATGATTTAGACACTTGAAGAACTTTACAATCAAAAAATTAAGCTTTAGTATATTTTAAGTAATTTCATACTTGAGCTGTAATTAAGCAGGTTTTAGGATCTTTTTATTTTGGACTTGCCTAAATTTATGCTATTCTGTAAGATACAGGACTTGCTTCTGCAACCTTCAAATGACTGTGCCTACATAACAGGGCACAACCTAGACACATCCTAGCTCTGGATGATGTTACTGTCTCTTCCACATGGAAGTCCTTAGCATCAGGACAGCTACTACGCTTTGGACTCAGCATAGCTGCCAGCACCTGCTACTACAAGTATAATGAAATGGGTTATACATCTATCATTGACTAAATATATCACTACTGTGAAACTGTCTGATCCAGCTACTTTGAGAATAACCTCATTCAAGATTAAAATGTGAAAATAATGTAAGACAATGCTATAATTTGATTAATTATGCAGTATGAAAAATGAGTGCTTGGAATATATTCAGCAAATTCTCGTGTTCAGGAAATAATTACTGTGTTGAAAATCTACTAAGCTCAGCAGTGCTTTAGTAAGGCCTTGAACCTCCAGTCCTTATTAAGTAGTCTGAAACTCCATTTGTGGCATGTTTTTTAAAATGGGAAGATGTTTATTGTTTTAAATGCCAAAGCAGATATTAGGAAAGCTATGAAAGAAGATTTGCATTAGTCGATGTTGGAAAGCATTCAATTTTGTTTCAGTAGCAAATAAAATCTTATGTTTTTCAAAATTTGGGAAATGTGCCAGTTTAGGTTAATTATAAAACATCGTCTGTCTTTTTGGAACGAACATTTCCATTGTGAAAAAGGACATTCTCATAACAGTTTATAAGTGTTATAGTTTTCATTAAACTATAAGCAATGTTACTTTGCTAGTTTTTCAAGCTAAAAGAGCAACAGCTCTAGCAACTGGAGTTCTCCTGCTTATTTTGTAGGATATTGTCTTTAAAGTCTATTTATGCACATGTAAGATCTGATGTGATTTAGAAACAAATTCAAATGCACCATAAATATGAATGTACGTGCAAATACAAAACCAGTATTAGATAAATCTGGTATCGTAGAATTTGTTAAACAGTTTTTTGTTTAAACTAGGTGAACTCAGAACCAGAAGCAGCAATTGTAAAGAGAGCAAGAAGTAAAATTTATTCAATGTAGCTGCTGCCTCATTTGTTATAAACAAAAAAAAAAAGCCAAAAAGAAAGTACTCAATATGTGTCTGAATATTAAGAGTTTCATTCCCTGATGGTTACTCTGCTTGACTCTGATATAGCTTTAAAGTCATAGGAACTACCATCTAATAAAATGGGTGCATCATAGTAATAACTAATATCTAGAGCAATTATTTAAAAGATTTTATCATTTTTATACAATGATTATGTTTGCCACCCAATTTTGTCAGATTAACAGCCCTTAAGACTTGATTTTTTTCTGGTGGGGATGACTGGACGGCTGGTTTATATGGTTGTTCTTTTTTTCTGCTTTCCAAAATTATGGAAAGATTATGTGTTTATTAAAAAAGTAGATTTTTCTTAGATTACAAAATTATTAAGATTGAGGATAAGAGATATTTTCCCTGAGTTTACTAGCCTTGTTTTGCTGTCTCTCAGGAATTTAAAGGGAAATCAGGAGAATGGGATAAGAATGGGGCAATCTGCAAAAATTGTCCTGTCTGTCCAGATGCTCGACAAAAATTATGGCCTGAGAAGTGTAATTTATTTCAGGTAAAATTTCTACCTTTCTGCTCTACAAATAAAATGAACTCTTTGCTCAGCTAGAGCTTATTTTAACTTAATTTTAAAAAACTAAGAATACAGTAAATCTGATAATGCATGTCTACATTGGTAGTGAATATATTGCTTTAGGTTAGGCCAATCCACACTGGAAGATCTAATGACATATACATTTATGTTAATTTAATTTTCTCATTCTCATGAGAATGAGAAAATTAATAAGTATCATGATGAAAATTATAATAGTTCTGTTAAAAAGAAACTAACCTGCAAAACCCAGTGAATGTTCCTTTTTACACTTTAAGTATATTGTAGAGATCCTTTTATCTTCTATGCTATTTACTAATATGCAAATAATTGTGACAACAAGTTATTGAAAAGTGTCTTACCAAGTAAGTAGTACCTGCCATTACTATGTTGACTCAGAGTTCCTTCAAATCTGATGACCCACTTTTTATTTGTTGAAGATCATAAATACACATTGCTATCATTTATGCAGAAAAATGAATTAATTTATACATGCTACTCTTGGAGTTGATTGTTGGATCATTTAACCCTTTTTTATCATATTTTTCAGCTTTCTAGCTACCATTCAGTCCTTGGCTGACTTTGTCATTCTTTTTTACTTGCCAATTTATTTATTAATTTTTTTATATATATAGCCTACTGATCTGGCATATTTTTACTATTTTAATTCTCTCCAATCCAGAAAAAAATGTTGCTTTAATGATGTGTTCATGTCTTATCCTACCCTAAACGTATAAATAAATAAATAAATAGATAAAAATAACTTGCAAATTAATTGGGCTGCAAGACCCCTTGAAAATTAAGTAAGGGAAAGACAGTTATGTTGCTGACGGGTAATTCCCTTTTCCACTGTTACTTACGGTCATTGGATCTTAATCTAGCAAAACATTTTCTTAACAATTCCTATGAGACTCTTGACCCATATGCAGAGTTTCCAAGGATGACAGCTAAGTTTTGGTTTAGCTGCTGAAAGCATTATATTCCAACTACTGAACTGCCATACAAATGTGTTAAAAAGGCAAGTCTTTGACTAGACAAAGGTTCTGACTGATAGATGTTGCTTGTATAGTTAGACAAGTCAAAAGAGAGAATTCAGAGTGGTCTTTCACATTTTTCTGTTCACTGCCATCAGTGAACTTTCTTTGAAGACAATTTTCTTCACAACTGTAACGTAACACCAACTATTTTTTTTAACAGAAATCTGATGGATGGTTAGCCCTTTAGCTGTTTCAAAAGTGTTAATTGTTCCTGTGTTTTTGTCTCAAGTTCCTCTTTTGTGAGTCTTTCCAGTTGGAGTCTTGCACTGTACTTCTCATAGTATTTGTTGTCACTTTTGATATGTCATACTCCATAACTTGGATGTCAAAGAGACCTAGATTTGTTGCCTTTAGAACTGAAACTTACCTACAAAGTTCTTTTGGCTTTTTATTTGATATGCAGCCAGTGGTCTGTTCTACTTAGGTTCTCAGCCAACACAAATGATGGGTATGTAGTCAATAACATCAAAAGCTGTCTAAAGAATGACTCTTTGCAATTCTTGACAGTGAAATACGGTATTTGTAATCATATTTCCATATTTATAATGATATTTGTAATTGCATTTCTTTTTAATACATATTTTCTTGCTCAGCTTGATCTCTGCACATGATATATGGTTTCCAGGTTATATTTTGTTGTCATTTTTCAGCTAATTCTCAGCCTTCTGAAAGATTAGTACTACTTGTTAATCTCCCAGTAGAGGGATCCATGTGGATAGTTTTTAAAACAGCAAAACCAGTTACCATAGTAATTATGCTTCTTCACAATGCCTGTGAATTCAGAAATACTGTAGATACCAATTTTCTGAAGTTTTGGGGTTAAGATTTTAATGAGCACAAGAAACTGAATGGAGAGTAGGACCTTGCAGATTGTGCAAATGATTCTCCCCCAAGTTTAAGGATAATGATCTCAAAGAAGTACAGTTCCTGTAGTAACTGAGCTGTTTATACATGAACTATGTAATGCTAACCCTCTAGTCAAAGGTTAATATCTATCCCGAGGCGCACACACACACACAACTCCTACTGAGTTCAATGAATCAAAGAAGAACATTTCTCTCAAATTATTTTTTGTAGGTAACTGCTCTGAGTAGGTCATCATAATCACCTTTTTCACATTTGAGGCTCATTAACATTAAGTACTAGGAAAATGCACAGCACAGGAGAAAAATCCTTGAAAATAATTCTGTGCCCTTGAAAGTTTCTGAAACTTTTTTTTACTGAGGGCAAAGAACATGAGACTAAAAAAAAAAAAGGAAGCATCCTTTAGTAAAGTAATGAACACTGTTCTAATTTTGCCATCTTTTCTAAGAAAATCCGGGTGAAGATGGAAATAGCTTTATGATTTCAGTAGTAATGGTTTGGTCCTAGCAATTTACATATAATTATTGAATTTCATTTAAAATATTTTCTTGTTTTATAGAGGCAGATCCAGAATTATCAATTCCAAATATGCAATGAGAAACAAAACCAAGAAGAGGTAATTACCTATGCCCAGCCTGAAAGTGAAAAAGATGAGCTGATTATTGAAAAGCTAAAGGTGACTGTGAATGAAATAGCAAGAAACAAGAATAAACTGAAAGAAGAAAATCTGAAACTCCGTGAGGATCTAAAAATGTACCAAACCCAGTGTCAGGTAGTAATAGTTTTTCATGGTGAATGTGGTGTTAGTATTGGAAAATTAATTACTTAGGAGTATACTTTTAAAAGTGGTTCTGAGATGCCTACATAAAAGATCTGTACAGTAGGTATATTCTTTGCAGGAACACAGAATGATCTGTGAACAGTATGATTTTTTCAAGTAAAAGAGAAATAGGTTTTATTTGCAGCAGTGTGTATTATTCTTGACTGTTTATGTAAGGTTTACAACAGTCTTATATCCATAGCATCTGCAGGAACTTAGCCTAGTTCACTTGGTTCCCTGTGTATAAATGACTTTTGTGAAATCTCTTTATCAGATTTATTCCTTGTTGTACACTATGCCATAGAGCTAGTAAATAAATATATAGAGAAGTGTATGACATACTTTGGTTTTTTTCAGAGGACATTTTGTAGTCAATGAATTTTTAAGTTGTTGATCCTGTGAAGAATCATCAGTTTTTATCTGATCCCTAGTTTACTGTTTTTCAACATTTCACTGACCTATGAAGACAGCCATTTGTGCCTCTTCTCTTGGTTGTGACACATGAGTTCTGACAAGATTCAGATAATACAAGATCTTTACAGTCTTTTTCATTAGCTATGTTTGAAACATATTGGGAATGAGATTCTCATTGTTGTATTTTTCTGGTAAGATATATCAATTATGCCTTTGCTTACTTATTTAAGCACTTCTAGGTTCAGTATTATATTGAATGGCCTATAGTAACTTCAACTCTTCCTGGAGAAAGATAATCTATTTCTGTTTATAGACAGCCTTGCAGAATTAAAATGGCATATGCAATATGCTTTATAGGAATTAGCATATATGTGGCAGAGATTAATTTGAGGTGTTGTCAGAACAGCCAAGTTTAGTGCACATTTATCTAAATCAATTTGCACATTAGTTCACTGAGAGTTTTGCCTGTGTACAAGTTATTGGCATGCAAGCAAAAAACTCTGTTTTGGGGCCTTTTAAAAATGCTGCCAGCAAAAGCAGTGGGACTGGACTATGGAGTGGAACAAATCACGGCAATTGGAGCAGGAGGATAGAGCCTATATGATGGAGTACAAACAGAGTAGATGTCATTGTGCTATAGCCTTTATGAAAATCTTCAAGCAGGAGGAGTTTTGGAATCATGTGAAGAGAATACAGGAGCTGTAGGAAGCACTGAGGACATTTTAAGTAGAAGTGGAGCTGGATGAACATAACATTGTCATCTAAAGGGCAGAAAGTTGCAGAATAACTGAGTTGGTGGTGTGGAATGCAGCCATGTGTTAGAAAAGCTGCATTTGGAAATAGCTGCAGAAGGGAAACACTGATGTAAGGCCAATGTACGGTGAAAAGGGGTAGCTCAGATAAAATATTTTTCTTAGGAATGACTGTATGAGAAAGAAGGAAGCACAATACCTGTTGTCAACCAGCAGAAGTAAGCAGGCTTGTGTGAAGGAGAGTTGGCTGGAGGATGGGAATAGCTGGACATGAGATGGACAAAGGAGGAAGAAGTATATGGGAATCTTGGTGCGGAGAAGGCTGATGGCAATGAAAGCAAGATGTGTATTGTGACTCATGTATCTTCTATGCCTATGATCATTTCATGTGCACTTTCACATATTTCTCTCATACTGTTAATTAGAAAGTGGTAAAGGGGTATGGAAGACCAGTTTGTGGGCTGCACAGAAAATACAAAATTTAGAAGATCCAAATGGAGACTGCAGTTATGAATTATCTGACAAACTTCTCTGCAGCCATACATGAGAGGCAGCCTGAAAATACCACACAGGGGGCTTGGTTCTTGAATAGTGTGCATTAAGTCAGCTGCTGGACACTAACTGACATAGAAATACATCATATAATTGTATTTAAAAGGTTGAATAGTGTATTGGATTTGTGTGGCAAGGTTTGGGTAATGAGGGTACTGCAGAGGAGGGTTCTGTGGGAAGCTGCTAGAAGCTTCCACAATGTCTGAGAGAGCCAATGCCAATCAGACCCAAAATGGACGTACTGCTGGCCAAGGCTGAGCCCATCAGCAATAGTGGTAGTGGCTCTGGGATAACAGATCTAAGGAGGGGGAAAAAAACCCTGCACAGTTGGAGCTGGGATAGAGGATTGTGAATATATGAGATGAAGAGCCCTGCTGACTCCAAGGTCAGTGGAGAAGGAAGTGGAGGAGGTGCTCTGGGAACCAGAGCAGACATTCCCCTGCAGCCCGTGGTGCAGACCATGGTGAGTCAGTCCCCCTGCAGCCCATGGAGATCCACAGTCAAGCAGAGATCCACCTGCAGCCCCTGCAGGGCCCCGCACCAGAGCAGGTGGATGCCTGAAGGAGGCTGTGATCCTGTGGGAAGCTCATTCTGGAGCAGGCTCCTGGCAGGACCTGTGGGCCCATGGAGAGAGGAGTCCACACTGGAGCAGGTTTCCTGGTAGGACTTGTGACCCTGTGGGGCATCAATGCTAGAGCAGTCTGTTCCTGAAGGACAGCATCCCATGGAAGGGACCCATATTGAAGCAGTTCATGAAGAATGGCAGCCTGTGGGAAGGACTGACATTGGAGAAGTTTGTGGAAGACTGTCTCCCATGGGAGGGACCCCAGGCTGGGGCAGGGGAGGAGTCTGGGGTGTCCTCTCTCTGTGGAGGAGGAAGGAGCAGCAGAGATAGCATGTGATAAACTGACCTCAGCACCCATTCCCCATCCCCCTATGCTTCTGGGAAGGAGGAGGAGAACTCAGGAATTAAGATGAGCCAGGGAAGAAGGGTGGGGGGAAGGTGTTTGAAGATTTAGTTTTTATTTCTTATTATCCTGCTCTGATTTGATTTCCAATAAATTCAATTAGTTTCCCCAAGTTGAGTCTGTTTTGCCCATGACAGTAGCTGGTGGGTGATCTCTCCTCGTCCTTGTCTTGACCCATGAGCCTTTCATTTTATTTTCTCTCCCCTGTCCAGCTGAAGAGTGATAAAAAGGCTTTGGTGGGCACATGGCATCCAGTCTGGGTCAGCCCACCGTGAATAGCTTTAAGTAGAATTAAAACAGGAGCTGATCAGAAAATCTTGGAGACTTTCTTTTGATATCAAATACAGCAAGCTATTTGAAGCAAAAATTTTGCAGAAGAAGAGAGGATTCGGTAAATTTTTTAACCTGAAACAGACTCTTAAAAGTTGAATTTTATTATGTATGACATTTTTCTAAACAAAACCTAATGTTTTCTCATTTAGAATTAATTTTCATTTTGGTGTTTTAACCAGATGCAATAGACATTTCCTAAAATATTAAGTGGTGCATATCTAATTTTTTTTTTGAGTGATATGTGAAACTCTTCACCTGAAGTTCTGTTTCAATTATTATTGTGGCTGCTGCTGTGACTGCTGTTGTTCCTGCTACTATTATAATTCACAGAAGAAAATACAATTTATGTAAATATGTATGATGTCTGCAGTCTGTCACAGATTATATGCCTTCTGCCATGCAATTGTGCAGAATTCATTCCCCATATCCACTGCAGAATGAAATCAGAGGGGTAACCGTCTCCAAAATTCATATGTTATAAAATAATTGTGGCTATTTCTTGAATGTTGAAGTAATGAAGATGATAATAAGCAAGTCTTGCAGATAATTTTAACAGTTCATTAAGCTTTATTTCACATGAATATACCCAGACTTGCATTTCAGTGTTTAAGAAAAGCACTCTCAGCCTTAATGTAACAAAGGATAAGATGAATTAATCCATATATGCAGTCCTTATTAAAAAAAAAAAAACTAAAACAAATGCAGAAGCACTTCATATCTGTCTTCAGCAGCCCTTTCAGCCAGAGGAAAACCACAGGCTTCTTGGAAGGAAGGTCATTCTCATATGAGGCTCTAAGGGAAATAAACCTTTGAAGTTCTTGCTTGCAGTGTTGTTTCTGGATTCCAGTTGTCTTTTGAAACTTTAAAGGCTTTATTTTTTGCTTTTAAACACAGCAACTATATTCAAATAAAATGATGAAATTCCAAAAAATACTAATGTTTTTTGTGTAATAGTTTTAAAGGCAAAGGATCAGCATCCTTGGAAAATCCTTTTCTTTTTTTTAAAATCTGGAATATGCTTTTGGCTTTGAGGTGAGAAGAAACTGATATTCTCTGGATACTATTATTGCAAGAATGCATTATTATTGCCACTTTTGTTATTTGTGGGTTACATTTCCAAGTGATTTTGTATGTTTTTCAGTACATTTTTGTAGAATTCTGATTTATTTTTTTTTATTCATATTTTGTGATGCCAAATGTAATGTGTCTTCAGGTTGTCTGTCACATTCTCAATAAGAAATTAAGGGTAAAACAGAAATAAGATTTGTTGAGTGCCCAAGAAAAAAAATCTTTGTGCAATTGTTTTAAAATTTTGGGGAAGTTCATTTAAATAAGCAATTAACTCTATGTAGATGGAACTGTTAGAAAAATAGAAAATGGAAGTTACTTATGGCACTGATGCAGAACCTGCTTAAACAAGCAAACTATGCTTTTAGTGCAATAAATTTAGTACAATAAATAGCTTCTGAATTATGTTTCCTATGATAGTTTCAGAGACAGATGCATTGGAACATTTCAAGAGCTAGAAAATATTCAGCATCTGATTTTTAGATGAGATTTCTGGAGAAAGGAACTGACATGAAAGCAATACCTTTTTCAGAAATGAAAATCATGTATGTCCTTTCATACAAATTATGCAGGTATCGAATACGATGTGTTAAAATACAATATTTCAAGCTGTCTAATTTTATTTAGCTGTTCATGCATTTGCTCGTTTCTTTAAAACATGGAGGCAGACTTTTGGAAATGAGAAATGAGCTGCAGTCACAGCATAGTCTCTGGAGAAGGATGCAACTGGAATGCCAACAGTTGCATACAGAATTATTGAAAATCAAAGAGCATAAAGATATGTGGGTATGCAGAAGAGAGCAGGAGGATACACTGGTGGTTTAGAACATGAAGTGTTCATATATGAGAAGGATTTCATATATGGCTGCATTTCTGGAGGTAGTTGTGTAGCTGTAAAATTGACATTCTGATTCTGCACACTCCTTACCTACTTCATTGAAATAATGGAAGAGGCCATGCCTAAGTATTGCTATGATTCAGACAACACCATGCAACTAATAAAGCCTCCAAGGCTATGAGTAATTAATACCTTATAGGAGGTAAGTTGGTAGTTTGTAAGTGGTCTCAGAGCTAGGCTATACTAACAGATCAACTGAAGCATGTCGCTATGGCAGGTGCCCACACAAGGCTACGTTTAATCAGGTACCTGCTGCACAATCTAGGGCAGAGCTCTTTAGTTTGAACTATGCATCACATTGCATTGAATCATAGAATCATGGAATTTTAGGGGTTGGAATGGACCTTACAGATCATCTAGTCCCAACCCCCTGCCATGGGTAGGGACACCTCCCCACTAGACCAGGATGCTCAAGGCCTCATCCAACCTGGCTTTGAACACTGCCAGGGTTGGGGCAGTCACCACTTCCCTGGGCAACCCGTTCCAGTGTCTCACCACCCTCACAGTAGAAGGGTGTGCATTGCACATTCCAGAAGTGCTGTGAGCAAGAAGTAGTGGCATGGCACTGTGGAATGGCATATGGCTTGGTAGGCCAATACTTTGAGGGTAGTGAATGCTCCGAACTCCTCTTACAAGTATGTTGTGGTTTTGCTGTGTAGCAAGAATATCTCTAATTGGGTGCAACTACCTTGGATGCAGCAGTTTTGGCATGACAGTCATGATCTAGCACTTAGGTTTTGTTGTGTCTACATCTGTTTGTTTACAATTCTAATATCTCTGTGCAGTTTGCATAAATAAAAATGAAATGCCTTCTCCTACTCATTGTGTACAGTACTGCAAGGAATTGTTAAAATGGGTTCAAAGGTTGTTGCTCTGATTTTCGTCATTTTGTTTCTTACACAAAAAAAAAAATCTATCAGTACTAAGTTGTTGGTTATAGTAGAAAGATTGTGGAAACAATCTTTGTGCTGGTGTTTTGGAGAACTCTGTACAGGAGATGGTGCAGAAGGTTTGACCTGAAATGCTATATACAATGTCAGGAAAAATTCTCATAAAGTGATTTACCATATATACTCTTACTTCCTAACATAATTTCTTATTAAAGAGCTCCTAGATCAATTTATTTATATTGCTATATTAAACTTATTTTAAACCTAAATTAACTTAGCAGCAATACAAATAAATCATACTCAAGCATATTGAATTGGGTATTTCCTTGGATAGTCTTGACCTTAAATTCCAATCCTTTACATTTTTTTAATTACTTTCATCTTTTAAAATGTTGATTTAAATGTGTTATGGTTTGTTAATTTCTCATGCTAAATATGAAAGTGAAAGCACAAAAGATGCAAACATAAAGCTCTGTGCATTGACTCATGAAGACATTTTATTATACAATCTCAAAATCTCTGGTTCGATATAGAAGAGTTTGTGTCTTGCAAGCAACAGCAAAAAAATTCACTGACAGGTAGCAAGTGATGCAATCATATTTACTGCACAACATTTTTTCTTTTTGAAATGTATTTGCTACAGATAAGAGACCACGTTTATCGAGAGGAGCAGTCCCATCGCTCTGAGCAGGAAAGAATGAAGACAGAAATCTCTGACCTGACAGAAGAGCTTCATCAGAAGGAGATCACTATAGCAACTATCATGGAGAAAGCTAGTCTTCTGGAAAGACAGTTAAAAATGGAGTTAGAGATAAAAGACAAATTGTTAGCAAAACAACAGGTATGCAAGCAGGCAAACCCGCCTAGATCATTTTACTCCACGCTATTGATAATGACATTCATTACCTGCAAAAAAAGACATTCCTTTTCTTGTTGTAGTTTTCATCAGAAGTGCTGTAATACCTGTGAAGTATTCCTAAAGCAGCCAAATTGATAGTGGAAAAAGAAAGCACCAGTAAACGTCAATTGTACATCCAAATTGCAATTCATTCTGACCATCAAATCTGGTTACCATTTTAACATGCAAAAGACCTTGAAAACTTCCAGTTTGTCATCATTATATGTATTTTATCACTTGAACTGCTTATTAGATTGTCTAGAAGGTTTTCTAACTTTTCAGTGTTTTTTAAAGCTTTCTGAAGAATGTTACAAACCTGCATAGAAAAGTCTAGTAATTTCATAGCTGGAAACTGTAAGATACCTGTATTTTAGTGGCAATTTTCAGTTTTAGCACCAAATATGTGATCTTCATTACTTTAGTTTGTACACCAAAAGAACCTTCATATTTAGGGGTTTCTGGGTGTGTCTGTTTTTTCCAAGAGGGTAACTGCATATTGAAAATTGTGATGAATGTCGTACTTTACTTTTGATAATAGGGAAGTAAGTTAGTGTTTGGGTAAATGTGAGATGTCTCCTACTGTGTGGCACTCCTTACTAGGTCACATTCCTGATCATATCACTAGAAGAGTAGATATTGTTTCTAGGTGTCATGACTAGGATTTCATCCAGTTCCAGTGGCCTGTAAAATCTGTCCCTCTTTGTATCTCCCAACTGCATGTGAACTTCCTTGTTTTCCCAAATCATTATCTCTTTCTAAAAGGTAAATAAAATCAGAGGCATTGCATTTGTATTTCTTTTACAGATGGCTTTAATACTTCTTTCTGCTTTAGTATTGCTATTTTTAAAAATATTATAGTGGGTATCATCATTCTTGAAGTATATTTTGTAAAATTCAACAAACATCTCCATGCTCAGTGTTATTCGAATTAACAGTAATATTCTTGTATTTAACTAAGAACTTAATCTTATCCTAGTTGTTGGAATTCCGATACAAAGTAATCAAATCTGAAAACACACATCTAAAGGAGATGGTGGAAAACCAGGAGTCTGAAAGTTGCACGGTAATTTGTTTTAATCTATGAAGTATGAAGAGCATTTACTTATATTTATTGTAAATTTAGATTAAGATCATGGCAGACTTCAAGATTTCTGGCTTGCATAAAATGAATCAATAAAAATAAGGTGTTCAACATAACCAAAACCAAGTGGTATTCACACACAGCCTCAAGATGGCTATAGCTAGGAATAATTTTTACTTTAATTGTAGTAAAATAGAATTAAACTAAATTTTTCAGTAACTGTCTAGACACTAAACAGCTCCTGGGAGCCTATTTTTTTGTAAGTGACATCACTTATTTCAATTTAAACAGTCATTCTCACCAGCACAAAAAAAAAGGTCCCTTTTTAAATATTTTACCCCTTTGTTGATATGGTATTTAAATAAATAATAGTATAAAAACCTGACACATTTTGCTCTCACGCAGCATATTTTCAGAGTTTATTATTCATTTCTCTCCAAACAGGGGATGTTTAAAATTTAATTGATAAAAATGTGCCATAATATTATGTAGGACTATAGCTTATAAGGATATAATAAATAGTATTTATGCTGCCTTCCACAAAAAGCTTCAAAACATCCCCTGTTTACAGAACATCTGCAGTTATTTTATCCATCACTAAAAAAAACAAACTCCACTGGAATGTTGTTTGTAAACATTGATGTAAATGCATTTTAGGGGGATTTGTAGCCTGTTAATTGTCTTACTGTATTCTGAAAAAATGCATGAAAGAATATCAGGTTTATCCACACCCTAAAAATATGTCTATCAGTGATGCCATACCTATACATACATATACACTGTTATGGATGGACGGATGTGTATGTATGGTATGTTATTGTGGAAACAGATGGATGTGTGTATGCATGTCTAGCTCTTCTCTACAGTGATACTCTTCTTGAAGATTGAGAAGAGCTGTCTGACAAGAATCCTTGGAGACATTGTGTGTTTGTTAAATTATAACGGTAAAATTCAGTAATGACATATACCAATATCAATACATATTTCAATGGATTTATGGACTTAATAATTCTTTCCTACTTTACTCATGTATTGTGAGGATCAATACATTAAAGACTGTGAGGTGTTTGATATTAGGATTCAAGGGACAGGAGACATTTTTATGGATGTGTTTCTGCTGTACAGTGGAGCACTACACAGACTAGTGCCAGCCTAAGTCAGTATAGTGGAATGCATCACCAGGCAGGGTTCCTTGTTTAGATTTCAAAACGCAGTGTAGCTGTGCCAGCTCAGTTTTGGGGTTCATGCCATTATAGCTGTACTGCTGATTCTAGAGCTATTAGTAGTAGGGTGACAGCCCCCTCATTCTTCCTCTGTTCTGCCACTCCTCCCACTTGTGAGGCACAGCTGAACCCTTGCCCCTCCATCCTTCCACAAAACACTAAATTTTCTTTTACTTTGTCACATTTCCATGCCAGCTTGGATCATAACTTTCCCTTAAAACTGGCTAAGCAAGGCAAGATTCACAGAAAGAGATGGCATCAAACCAGTTAGACTAAGGAATTGACAGGCTTTCAGGTACAGGAGCACAGCTGTGTCAGCAGTATACTAAGAACCAAATCTGTAATACTCATGAGTTATTGGGTTCCAAGAGAATAAGGTAAGTCTAGTAATACACAAAAACACAACTTAATAAAATGCAAAGGGTTTTAGACTTTTGTGTGTAATCTGATAAACCTTTTGAGAATTTCCTGTTGATAACAGCATACTGTTATTGCAAATACATTACACAATGCAATGCAGGACTCTGCAGACATAGATCCAAAATAGCTAGCTCAGATGTGCAGCATAGGCTTCATGAAATAAGAGATAGGAAAAAAAAGGAATGGAGTATCCTAGCTAGACAACTTCCAGAGCTAATCTCTACCATCCCTTCTTGACATCCTAGTGGATAGGGCTCTTTAGCCCCTGGCTGCAGTGCATGTGTGGCTTCCACTTCCAGTGTTTTGCCTTATATGCCACATGGGCTAACCCAGCTGAGAAGCAGGATTTAGCAACATGACAGAGTGCTGAGCTAACATGGCTTTACTGGTTCTGAAACTGAAGGTGACTATCTCAACCCAGATATTAAATTATGCCAGTGCACATACCCTGTATCTGGTATAGTCATGAATTTCTGTAATTTTTCTTGTTTATTTTTGCAGGAATTGCTACTGGAGGGAGCAATACAGTCTGCAGCTATAGCTATTATGGTTCCTTTTATGTCATAAGTTTTACAAAGCAAGTGATGAATTTATAACAACAATATTTTGAATGCATGTTTGTTGAGAAATTTTAATTTGTTTTATTGTGTTATAGAGGCTGTTATCCCTTCTTTTCCATTTATCTACAGTGATTTTTTTTTTTCTGGAGGCAATTCACTTCATTTGCTGCATGATTATATATGGTAGCTAGGTCTTTCTTTAGCACAGAACATTGTTTTGTGTTTGCTTGTTAAAAATACACCCATTTATTGTGGAAAAAATAGCTGTTTAACAATGGGTTTATCTCCTTTCACAGAGTACAGATTTATGTAACAAAGAACATGGAAATTTCACAGCTTCTGGTCACAAAATGAAACACGAGAATTTAAGACTACAAAATAGTCTTGTTAAACTACAAAATGACACAGAAACATTGACACTGGGTTGCATGGAGGCATATGGAGAAATAGAGCACAGCTACCAAACCCATTCAAAGATTCAGGAAAAGGAAGAGAGGTAATATTTAGATTGTACACATATATGAAACTTTCTGTAAGTTTTTTGGAAGCACCTGACTGGGCCAAACTGTTCTGTTTTTTGCCATTTCTGTTCATTCCGATCTCCTGCCAATATAAATGTCGGACTTAGTTAGTATATTTGTAAGCGTTTCCTACATTTTTTCTGGGTTGCCAATGGAATTTGGCAATAAATGAAGTTCCAAAATGTTTGATACCTATTTTAGTATTTAGCACATGAAAACAAGTTTAAAAACTTTTTATGTGCTGCACAAGTTATTCTCAGTTCCAGGTTTTGCAGTGGAGGACAGACTGTAGTTTTATTGCCAAATAAAAACAAGGCAAGGAAAGGATATAAAAACCAACATGAGAGGTAAACTGCTCCACAGGAGGTTATCTTAATAAGCAGTTTGAACTACAACCCCTGCTGAAAAGCTTTGTGTCCCTCCAGTTTCATTTGTTGGAAGTGTCATTAAATGTATTTTAATGCCTTTGTCTAGTTTTGGTGTTCTTGGGTGACCTGATTTTTAAAAGAAACATAATTTCATATGCCCTGAGTAAATCATTACTACATTAAACTCCTTGTTAGGGAAAAATAATGAGATTTAAGAATAGCCAGACTCATATAAAACATCATTGTGATGGCTTTCTTCCTATTTCCCTGTATTCAGTGAGGCACTGAATTACCTTCAAACATGTTATAATCATGGGATTGCAGTAAAAAAAGAAAAAAAAAGAAAAGAAAGAAAAGAAAGAAACTCCCTGTTAAACAACATTTCACAGTACAGGTAATTAAAAATTAATAGGAAGCTAAATATTTTGATCATTTTTTATCATTAGTTTGTGATTTTAATAAAGAACTTACATGATAGCACTAAAGTAAAGCAGTTCTGTGAAGCAAAGTTGAAATAGTTGGAGCCAAAATTGTACATGTTAAGATTTCCAGCTCATACATTTAGTTTTTGGCAAAATTTAAAGTTCTTCTCTTTCTGCAAAATAGAGGGGCATCCCAATATATGTAGCTATGCTTTTGCCTAAAATTTCCTGTTAAAGGATGTTGTTTAGTGTTGGAGGTAGTAGCCATGTTTATGCAAATAGACATATTATATGTGTATGTATATATATATATATATATGCATATGCATAACACAGGTATATATACATGCACATTTATGGAAGTGGCAGTTGTGGCTGTTCTCCTATGTAGTTTCAAATTATGTTGCAGGTTTTGCTGAAACAAATATTTACAAACCCAGACAGATTATTCTTCACCTGTAGATCTTGCAACTTCACCAAAATGTGTCAGTGCAATTTTTGCCCATGCTTCCGCTCTTCTCAAGTGAGAAAAAGCAAGATTTTTTCTTGTTTTCTCAGAATTCACACTTGCTGTACATAAGGCACTGTGAAATTTCATTTACGAGAACATAAATGTATGAGACAATAGAACTATGCACATAATTTGCAGGATTTTGATTTCATAGCCATTGAAGACAAATGTTAAACCAACACTGGGAGAGAGAAACCTGTGAGATTTAACCTCTCTCACAACAGAAATTTCAGCCACACTGCTGAACACAATATGAGTTATGATTATAATTAATATGACGATACAGATATATTGAGCCTGGGTGTTGGGATCTAAACCATGCATTTGTATTCCTAAATGAAAAGCTATTTAGCTAAATAAATACATACACAGATTTCAAGAAAAAGTGCAAATTTCACAGGTACTGTATCAGCACATCAGCCAGCCACTCTTTTTAATATTGGGCTCTCTCTATGCTATCAGTTCTCTGTTCCCAAACAGGGAACTACCTCAAGATTTTATCAGAAAACTAAAATGAAATTTTCAACCATCAAACGTATGCAGATAAACCAGACAATTAATGTTGGTTGAGTTAAGATCTGGGGTGTGTTTATTTTATTGTGAGCATAAACCCTGTTATTTCTGGTTTAATTTGCAATTCTGTTTCCATGGTAATTATGGCACTGGAGAAAGGGCACAAAGACTTTTTTTTAATAGTAAAAAAATAGAAAACATGGTGCATGTGCAAGGGAGGGGTGTATATTCCACAATATTTTTCAGTCATGTCTCTCTATCTGTACTGGAATCCTGGGCATGGGCACCATCATGACTTAGAGACCTCTAGGGAGAACACAGGAAATTGCAGGAAGTGATATTGGCAGTTGAAAAAGCAGCAAGATTTCTTATTTGTTTCAGCATACAGTGAATTTCTAAATATTATAAAGTAAGATATGCAGAAATAGCATCTTTTTGCTAAAAAAAAGGACTGTGCCCACATTCTACCTATAACCACCTTAATTAATTACTGTTCTCTTATATAATTGCCTTACTTGTAATTGCCATTTACATAATCTTTCCCCGTCTTCAAGAGTTCAATTCTTTATTTAGACCTTGGCCACATAGAGTTGATTTAAATTTTGGCATGGTTGAAGAGGACTTTCTCTGATGAAGCTGATGCGTTCAGTTTGTTTCTCCAAAATTAAAACACACATGTGAGTTCCCAAATGAGAAGTTAATTATTTGCCATAAAAATATGCACAAACCAGGTAACTGGGCAAGTCAAAGTGCATTTTCATCATGTGGCAAAAGTGAAGGGTAAAGACTAGGACTGAATGTCTGCTCAAGTAACTGGGGATTGCTTAAAGGATGTGTGCTGACAGTGATGTGTCCGAGTTAAGGAGATGTTCACTACTCTTTGGAGGTCACACACTCTTAGTCACACTCACCACTGTACCAGTTATTGCAATAGATAAAGTGGAAGCACTGAAAACAATCTCTTCAGGAAAATACTTGTTATCCATTTTAAAAATCAAGTTATACTTGCAAGGTAAAAGCAACGACACAAGTTCTCGAAGACAATCTGGCCATTAAAGATCTGTTGTTTTCTTTCTCTAGACTAGTTGTGTCAGCCAGCACAAGCTGTGTGAGGAATTCGTTTTGCATCACTGAAGTCATTGACCACATAGGGGCCAGGATGATTTTATGTATGAGTCTGGAAAAGTCGATGCTGTCTATATAAATTCCCTTTGTGAGGACATTGTTCTTCCAGTTCTTGTCCCATATGTCACCATGTTAACAGTGATAGTATTTTTGTGAAGGATGTGCACACGTTAAATACTCTATGACAGTAATCCCACTGAAAGCATAAATTAGTCCACTGCAATTAGAGTGTATTTGCAGGGCTAGTGTTAAGAAAAGGACAGCTTTTTACAAATTTGCAGATATTTGTCCACCTTTACATTTGTATTCGAAGTAGATCTCTGTTCTTAGGTATGATTTTGCACTGAACTGGTACAAATTTAAACCCCAACTGTGAAAACTGTTGGAAGTAAAGGCATAGTAACCATATCTCCATATCAAAGCATGTCAATGTAGGTGTCATGTTTTTCCACGATACCAAGCAGCCCCAGAAATCCTATGGATTACAGTAGGAAGTAGAGCTCCTTTACAAAACAAAACCATTCCTTTTTAAATTTTTTTTGAGGGGGGCAGGGGAATACCTGTTTATGCTATCTAAAAGCATATCTGTAGGCACTCAAGTCTGAAAATTCTGGTCTTAGCAAAATAAGCTATAATATAACAGTAACAATTATTAAATACATAGAGAAGCAGTTCTGGGGGGGAAAAAGGAACACAGATCACATAGACTTTACTGTGGGTTTACAGAGAAAATTACTTCCAAAAAGATCAGAACACAAGATGAAAAAAAATAAATCTGTGATTTTATTATTCATGCCATTTATTTTCAGTTGTGGCAGGTTTTTTTCACTGTCCCCTTCATCCAAGCAATAGATGGAATCGACTTTAAAATAGGGAGGAAAAGGGAAAAAAAACCCAACCATAAAGACCCTCAAAAGGTATTCTCCTGTGCCCAAAGAGCAGAGTGTATTTATTTAAAGAAAGGCATGAAAGGAGAAAACTCTGCCTCCATAGAGGCAAACATTTCAGGTGGTTCAGAGAACTGGATGGTTTGGTGAATAGTCTCAGAGATTTTATGCTAGAGTGTATAATAATAGTATTACAGTAATAATAAAATTATAGTAATAATAATTATAATATAGCATCATACTTATAATTTGCTTTCCTGTAGCATTCAGAGTATCTTAATCACTACTTCTTTTACAATCAGAGAAAAATATGTTCTTCATTACTTCTCTGAGTTGCCCTGCACAGTCCATTTTTTTTTGGGATACTCAATTTTGTGTTTCAGGGCTGTTGTGGTTTAGCCTAGCAGGCAGGTAAACACCACACAGTCACCTGCTCACTCTCCCTTTTTAAAAAAACTAAAATTCATGTGCTGGGATACAGTTTAATAGGACAGAAAAGAAAAGGAAGGGAAAACAATAATGATAAAATAATTAGAATATACGAAACAAGAGATGCACAGTGCAATTGCTTACCACCTGCCAACTGGTGCCCAGCCAACCTGCCCCTAGTTTATTGCTGAGCATGACAACATATGATATGGACTGTCCCTGCAGTCAGTTGGGGTCAGCTGTCCTGGCTCTGTCCTCTCCCAACTCCTTGTGCACTCCCAGCCTCCTCACTGGTGGGGTGGGGTGAGGAGCAGGAAAGGCCTTGATTCTGTAAGCTCTGCTCAGCAGTAACTAAAACGTCCCTGAGTTATCTACTGTTTTCAGCACAACCCCAAAACACAGCCCTGCACCAAGTACTGGAAGAAAATTACCTCTACCCCAGCCAAAACCAGCACAAGGATTTATGCACAACCACCTTCTCTCAACATAAAATATATAAATCAGGTTAGATCTTTCTGCAGAAAACACAGTCTTTTCCCTCACTTGGCAAGTTCTTATTTTTATTTAAAAAACCAGCACTAAGCAGCACTGCAAATGGTTGAATATTTATAATAATTATATTTCAGTGGCAGAGAACTAGCTCTTTACAAGCTTTTATAGCTGCATTTAAAATTAGTAAAGTGTTTTAGGATATTTGCAATGATAGAATCTGTTCAAACAGCTATAATGTTTTAGTGGTTACCTTCTGAGACTAAAATTTCATCCTAAGCACAGACCTCAGTACAATGGAAGTTTTTACCTCAATCAGAAATATTATAACAGAATTTTTTTTAAAAATGGCAAACCCTTTTGCATATATTGATATATAATACAAGTTATATATCTATATAATGCAACTGAAAATTGTGATTCAGCAGACATGTGAGCAAGCTAGTCTCAAAATCTTCTGCTGTAATCAATACAATATGAGACTTGTTCAGGTAACTGTCAGGAAAAGAAGGTATTTTGAATGGGAAGAAAATAGCATGCTTTTTTTTTCCTTTAAGTTGCTGTTCACCATAATAATTTTTGCTTTGCAGAACTACAAATGAATACAAATACATACTTTCACATCAATTCTGATCACTGTAAGTGGGATACAAGAGTTATGGATAATCATAATAAAATACTCAAAAATTCTTTTGTAAGCTCGACAATTTCACATATTGTTACAAAATCAAGTTCTTGTGCAATTTTTTAAAAAGCATATTTTAAAAATCTATGAATCTTTTATATTAATGTCTAATGTGTTATTAAATCAGTGGTAAAATTAGCATTTCAGTAAAAATGCAGGATCAAAGATTCCTGTACTGCTTTTTATTTAAGCATTTATTCTTAATTCTAGCTATTTGAACTTAGTTTTTAAGGTGATATTAGATCAAAACTGACTCATTATCCAACCACTAATAACAGGATTTGTCTCTCATCTCACTTACACTTTCATATTTAATTTCCTCTATTTGTGTGGCTAAATTCACTCTAGTTCCTATCATACTATAAGCCAAGAGATGGCTGAAATGGGCTTACATAGCTTCTTCCACAGAACAGCTAAAGGGATGGCAACCTTTGGCAAAGAATGGGTAACAAACACTTAAGAAGTATTGGCATCTTCCGTAGCTGAAGTGAGTTTGTTTTAGCACCTGTCCTATACCAGCCAAGGCTATGTTCCCAGCCTTAAGATCCAGTGAAAGGGTTTAAATTAGGGTGATGTAAGTCACAGCTGAAGCAGAGAGAGAATGCACACTCAGACATTTACAGTATCTTTGGTGGAAAGTTGCTAAACTGCTGCTGCTTGGTAATGCTTAATCTTATGCCCATAATTTCATGCATGAAGCAGTTTAAACAGCTAAGTAATCAAAACTCTGCAAACAAAATAAAAAGCCCTTGGCTTTGCTGTGCTAGCTTAAGAGTTTAAACTGATTTTCATACTTTGTTTTTTTTCTCCTTTTAGAACTTCCCGAAATGAAGACGCATGGGAAATGGAATGTCAACAGACTGCTGTGTTCACCGCCAGTGGCTACCACAGAAACTGTAGTCCTGCTTTATATGGCCAAGGCAATATCATTGGTTCAAAAAGTGATAGCACTTTATCTTCTCATCCACTGCACAGAGCTCATGAAAAGAAAAGAGTTTATAAATATCCATCACCACCAGTGGAGTATTCTTTGGGCTTTGGTGTGCCATTTCCTGAAATGGGTGGAACAGGCAGCTCACTGAGCCCTGCTTACAGTGCAGAAGAAATAGAATTATCAGTAAGTAACTATTTTCCTATAACACATATATTCTCAAAAATCCATCTGTGGACCAAGTGCAGCCTTGAAGTAGCCAAAAATTAGATCATCCTTGTTGTCATTAGTATTTACTAATGCCAAGCCAGAAAAAATGGAAATACCTTATCCTAACAGAAACGCAGTTTTTCTGGAGATTAAATATCCCCTACTGAGTCATTCCTCTGTTCTAATAATGATGGTGATAATTATCTGCCATTATGTGACTGTGAGAAAGATTCCTACATTTTAGCTTTTTGGCTTCTATACTGGAGCACTTTGCTTCATATTGCCTCTGTAAGAGCACTCTGCATTGAGTGTATTTCCATAATACCTGCAAACTTACTGCCCTGAGTGCTGTTTGACAAATCAAGTTTCTACAGCATTCATTGACGGATGAAATCAGAGGAAGCACAGCAACTATTTTCTGTATGTTCATTATTGTATTTGAAAAGGAACAGCTGTGATACATGGATCCTTGTACCCAGGAGATCCTCAGCTGCAGGGCTGCGGCTGGACCTGTAGGGAGAGAAGAGGAAACACTTCAGCATTTCCTAGGGAGAACTGATAGGCAGTTTTCTTGCCACTTGTTACCTAAGTAGGAATGAAGAGTCATCATGACACCAACAATCACCTTCAAGCAGTTTGCGGTTGTTGTTCCCCAGTTCTGCTGTCCACTTCAGAAATGGGTGCACATCCTTTCCTGCAGAGATATGACTGCTGGAAGACTATCTCCCAGTCCCAGAATCTCACTGTAGACAGGGAGCACCATAACGATGGCCTGCCTGGGAAGCAGGGATTGCAGTGCAGCCCTTAGCTGACTGTGGTCCCATCAGCTGTGTCCCAGTAGTGTGAGAACAGCAAGAACCATAGTCCTGGGTGTTTGCCCTCACTTCCATCTTTGTATTCTTACATTTCACAAGAATTTAAAGTAAATGGCTTTCGGTTTCTCATGGCTTGAGAGTTTTCCTCTTTAAACTGCTAATCATGAAAAGAGTTGTCTATACTTTTTTAGAAGAGTCTGATAAACACCAATTCTTCTCTCTTCTCTGAAGTGTCAGACACACACCAGATCACAAAGCTTTTAGAGGTTGCTGTGGAAATAGGGAATACCCCAACAAAGCTTTTTCAGGTTGCTGTGGAAATAGGGAATACCCCATTCTGATACAGTGGAGCCTGGAGTAAAAATTTACAGGTGTGATAGAATTCTGAGGCTTTTTCCTCTGAACATTTGAATATTTGAATCATTTGAAGTCATTCCTATTTGATGTGCTGACATATAAACTCTCCTTTTTAAATTCTAGAAAAAGAAACACCCAGGATTCTAGACTAATAACTCAAACAGTGACTAAAGTTATTTAAGATATGATGTAATTAAGATTAAAAATGTCTCTAAGTTTTCTCAATATATGACCATATAAAGACAGAAAATTATCTTTCTTTTAATATTACAGGTCATATACTAAGTTTTTTTCTCACTTGAATGTTAAAAATCATGTCATAAAATTGTATTTATCTATGCAAATAAATATTGAGTGTATTTGAACAATGCATCTTACGTATTAGCAAAAGAATTAACAACAATTGCTGCTTAAAAATTTAGGACTTTTTCCAGCAAAAACTCACTCATGTCCCTTTGCTTTATACAATTCTGCATCCCATGACAACCATTTCAAGGCCGATTTTTGGTGTGTTTTATGTCTCAGTCTACTACATGTTCATTAAATGGAAATAAGATTTTTCAGTGAATTACTCATAGCGAATACAATCCAGAATGTCAGGGCTTGGAGTTAATAGTACTGAAATGAGCATAGGTTTTCTTCCTTTCCTGTGAAAACATCACATCACAGAAGCAGAGAGCTAAAAATTCCAGGAGGCATTCAATAGTATCCAACATTAGTTATATTCTGTAATTCCAAAAAAGGTTATTGTCTTCTGGCCTGGTCTAAGTTATACAGGTGACTAATGTGACCTGTAGCAGATCCAAAGATTTTGGAGGTTCTACAGCAGCTTAATTCTGTCTAATGGGATATTGAAAATTTTAATGGGCAATCTACACCCTAATGCTGTGAATATCAGAGGTAATCAAACATCAGGTTCACCTTCTGTCATTTAGGCACACGGATGCCTTTAAGAATGCATGCCCAAATTCTTGTTTTCTTGGAGAGGCGTAAAGCATTATAGCTATTAGCTGCTGTAGGTCAAGATGTTTTTCACATCTAGAATTTGATAATGCAAACACGTAGCACTTGCTGGTTTTTACTAACCATGATTTTCTATTCATTGCTCAGTCTCCCCCTGAGATCTCCCTCCTTGCAACAACAGAAAAGTTTCTTCAAGAAGAAGAGAAACATACAAGAGAGTTTGAAGAACGTTTAAATTCACACCTTGAGGAGCTGCAAAGATATTCAGAAAACACTCTAAAAAAATATGCCAGGGTACAGCAAAGCAGCTATGCTTAAGCCAGTCACACAAGGAAAGAAAACCAAGTAATCATCCGTAAGTTTCTTAGAAGTGAAATCTGCAACTAGCTGCTTCATGTATTTAGGGACATTGCCAATTGCATGTACTTTTAGCACTAAGTTTTCAATAAGATCATTATCAATGTATTTAGGGACATTGCCAATTGCACTAAGTTTTCAATAAGATCATTATCTTGTGGATTTAAGTATATTGTAACATGACATTATTACAAAATAAACTCTAAACTTATTCTCAAATATACAGGTTGGTCTGACACAGTAAAATTGTGTGCAGCAGAGACCCTGTTGCAGCATTGTAAATTAAGATACTTACAATTCTGCAATGTACAGAGCGCTAATAAGTGGAATTATCCCCTTGAAATCAGAATCAGCCAAGAGAAATTCTCTAGATTGTACAAAAGAATAATAAAGGCCTTTAGCCATGTCACAGCTCCTGGCATAAAGAGCTTATCTATGCTCTGGTTATTCTTGGCTATGGAAACTGCCCTTGGGACTCTGGAAATGAGAAACTTGATCTCTTTCTTCCACTCTAAGCCATGCCAGTCTGTGAGAGAAACATGAACAGACAAAGCACATCTTTTGAAGCCACCCATATTTCCCCTTTTACCAGACCTGTAGACTTCACCCGAGGCAGGGTCTGATCTCAGGTACTTTACATTAATACAATTTTTTAATCCTGTATTTGAAAGCACGTGTTTTGGAATTGATGTTTCGATACTATGTTGGATCGTTGTTTAACTACATTGGAACAGGGGGGAAAAATGTTAACTTCAGACAACTTGTGATCAGCCTTAGGTAAGGGCCCAAATTCTTTCCATTCTTCTAGAACATAGTAAAACGTTATATAACTGAGCAGAGTTAATTCAACTCCATGTGCTGAAAAACTGCATAATGCTGTGATTCCTTTTATTTGCAATTCATCCTGAATTCTATTGCTGTGCAAGCGAAACAGAAATTACAGACACTGTTGATGAACCACCAATTTCAGTGAATGAGATACTGAAGAACTGCTTTCCAGCATATACTGTTGCCAACTTCCTGGGAAAATCTGGATAAAAATAATGCCAGGCTGTCAAACTGCTCCAGTTTGTGAGTAAAAGAAGTCTCATTAATATTCAATACCATGGCTAAAATGTAAATTGTTTTTCAATGCTATATTTCCTTGAAGACAAAATACACTACATCACACTTGCACAAAATACCAAGATTTTAAATACCAGATTGGCTCAGTTTGCAGTAAAATGAGTAATGAAAATGAGAACATCAAAGAACCTTTTACAGGAAAATTCAGGAAAATTACTAGACTCAGCTGGAGGAACAAGGACTGAATCAAAAGATGATGGAAGGACATCTGAGCAAACTAAATATATATGTATCCTCAGCTTAAGGGGAGATGCATCTGGGAGTTTTGAAAGAACCAATGAAGAAATTCAGGGACCTCAGAAAATGAAGCCAAATTTTAAGCTGGGAAGAATCTGTGGAAGGAAAAGACTGCAAAATACTGTCTTTCAGAAGGGCAAGAGAAAAATATTAGCCAGTTAGACAGAGTCTTCTGCCACTGCAAGATTTAAACATACAAGACGACAGTACACTCCAGATCTTCAAAGAAATGTATGTGTCTGAGTCCAGGCCAGGCCTGAGGATACCTCTCAAGGACAGGTTTGTGTGATGGTGCAAAATGAAAGAATGAAATTATTAAAAAATTATTAATTTTTTTCCTAAAGCTTCTTCAGATCTGGTCAAGCTACTAATTTTGGCGAATGAAATAATGGAGTTAGTTTCAGCCTGGGTTTTGTACAACACCATACAATAAACTCCCTGTAAAAAGCACTGAAAACTGTAAAGTGCCTGTATCTGAACAGCCTACTTTTTACTGGTATTGCCTGCTCAGAGCACATTATCCCACAAACGTGCTGAGACAGTATGGACCACAGTGCCACCTACTTACTGGAAAGGTCATCCTTCTCTTTCCCAGCCAAACAGCCAAAGTTGCTCATCTAACAATCCCCAATTTAGATGAGCCCATTGCTGCCACAGTATAGTTGGAGCCACACCACTGGTTGGAATACTCTAATTGTATTAAAATGTAGAAACTTGACTGTACTGGTTTCTGAAGGAAGATGCCTATTCGTGATGTTACCGTGCAGAAATAGTTTATAAAATACATACCACATTTCAAAGTTATTTGGAAAACTTTTTAAGTAACGATGGGCAGCAGAAATAATAAAGACTGAGAAATTATACACCCTATGAACAGGGGTTGGACATGTATGTATATTGTCAAAAAAGGAACAACTGGAAGGGTCCAAGGCTATAAATGTCTGAAAGCACCTATAAAAATGAAAACCCCCCCCATTATTAATCATTAAGTTCATTTGACAGGACAAGGTACAATGTTCAGGAGCTATGGACAGCCCAAAACATAGAGCAATTTCTATTCTACTTTGTGAATAGCCAGCCAATGGAAAACGTCTGCAAACTGCTGGACTTTGATGATTTTTCAAAGCTTACTAAAAAGCAATTTTTTTGGCTCTCAGTTGAAAGACTTGTTTTAAACACAAAGAACAATGGTTCAGGCTGCCACCAGCTTTTTTTTTTTCTGAAGGAAAAACAGAGGCTATGTACAAGCAGTTGCCAACATGTTTCATCAAGATGTAATTTTGAAATAGTTGGTGGCATAAGAGTTGCCAGAGCACTGCTGTCCAATTCACTCCCCAAACCTTGCTCTGAGGGGGCCAAAACAGCAGTAACTGAACAAAATAATTTAAAAGTGGCTCACATGGAATTTGGGTATTTAGCACATTTTCTTCCATTTCTTACTCTCTCCTTTTACGTATGGGAAATTTAAGAGTATAAGAATAGGAAAGTGTCAGACAGTGGGTACTCTGAGCCCTGCAGAGAGGAATGCAAACTGCAGCAGCAAAACACAGTGCTAAATGAACACTCACAGGCACAGTTTTCTTGCTTTTCTGATGGGTAGACTTCAGCAATGGCTATAGCTTACCCAATCAAAGGCAAATAAATCTCTGCTGTGATCAGAGATACTACAGAAAGTGCCTAACTCCCTGCTCCTCCCCCCCCCAGTCTCAGTGCTCTGGCTTTATTGTAGTGTTACTGGTTATTATTCCTGATTTAATGCTGGTGCAACGGTGCACAGAATCAAGCCCACAGGGATTTAATAATTCCAAACTAGACTAAACAGGACCAGTGGGAATGAGAAGGAAACCATCAACAGAGGTTGCCTAATGAGGTGAGCCCCAGGTGACTTTACATCTATGGTATGTTGTGCCAGCCATCAAAGTTTGATTACACAGCCAGCTCAGGTATGTGTTGAACTCCATTCAGTCCTGCTGCTTTCTGCTCCTGGGTGCCCCAGAGACACCCCAGCTGGGAGAAGGCAAAGGGCACTGGGGGAAGGTCCTTAGCCTGTATCATGGGATTACATTCCCATCTGTCAGATTCACAATCACTTTTTTCCCTGATCTAATTCCATTCAAAATAGCTATCTGCTAGATTTTACTCCAACTATCTTGTGCTAGGGAAGTTGCTCTTTCCCAGGCACAGCACTCTGCTGAGAAAATGCTAGGTTAAGGATTGTCCAAAGCAGAGCTTGTTGGAATTGACTGAACTAATGGGTCAAGTGGGAGCTATGTGGTTTTTTCCTCACTGTAGGAATCAGATCTCAAAGTTCACTGTGTCAGAGTCGCTATTTAATCACATGGACACCCTCAAATCCATAAATAGGCTGTAATTTAATGTACTGCATCTAAATTTCTGCTAGTGGATAGAGCAATTCCCCTAGACACTGATACACTGCACTCCCATGTCCCTTCCTAAACCAACAGACTGATCAGTTTGTTCCTCTAATCTACTCTTAAACAAACTACTAGGGGCTTTGAAAGAGATTTATCAAGAATGCGTTGCCCCAGTTACCTTACAAGAACACGTTTGCATATGAAGAACAGCCCTGAACCATCCTGTCACCAAATTTCCTGCAACAGATGAAGAATTTACTTGATGTGAACCTTTGTACAATCCCAGATGGAGCAAGAAATCCTACATAAGTCCTGGTCCCTGGCATCCGATGCAAGCACCATAACAAGGATTTTTAATAAAGCTGTTGCACAGAAGTCAGCATCAGCTAAGAGCTCCATCTGTAGTGATGCTGAAGACGTTCAGCTGGGACATGGATGGCAGGGCTCTGCTTTGCTGGTGCATGGCATGTTAACTGGAACCACTGGCCCTGGTAAGAATCATGGAATATCCTGAGCTGGAAGGGACCCACAAGGACCATAGTCCAACTCCTGGCCCTGCACAGAACAGACCCAATAATCACACCATGTGCCTGAGCACATCGTCCAAATGCTTCTTGAACTCTGCAGGTTTGGTGCTGGGACAATTCCTTGGAAGCTTGTTCCAGTGCCCAACCACCATCTGGGTGAAAATCCTCCTCCCAACATCCAACCGAAACATCCCCTGAAAGCTTCATGCTGTTCCCTCAGGTCCTGCAACTGGTCACCAGAGAGAAGAGATCAGTGCCTGCCCCTCCACTTCCTCTCCTGGGGTAGCTGTATACAGTGATAACATCTCCCCTCAGTTTTCTCTTTTCCAGGCTGAACAGACCAAGTGACCTCAGCCACTCTTCGTATGCCTTCCCCTCTAGGCCCTTCACCATCTTTGTTGTCCTCCTTTGGATGCTCTCTGATGGCTTACTATCTTTCTTATATTGTGACACCCCAAACTGCACACAACATTCAAGGAGAGGCTGCACCAGCACAGAGTAGATGACTTTCACCTCCCTCAACCAGCTGGTGATGCTTTTCCTGATGCACCTCAGGACATGGTCGGCCCTCCTATCTGACAGGGCACACAGCTGACTCCAATTTGACATCAACCAGGACCCTTGCTCTCCAGCATCTCATTCCCAAGTCTGTAGGTACATCCAGGGTTGCCCCATCCCAAGTACAGAATCCAGCACTTGACCTTATTCAATTTGATATAGTTGGTGATTGCACAGGCCTCTAATTTATCAAGGCCTCTCTGCCTTCAAGGGAATGAACAGCTTCTCTCAGCTTAGTGTCATTATCTCCATAGTGCAGGTCCAAACCAGGGAATCAAAGTGCAGGCTCTAGTTCACCTCTTCCAAAGGTACAGGACCATTCAAACCGTGTCATGTGGGCCCCAAACATAAATCGTGTGAAAAAAAACAGTGCACCTTCTCTGATGCGTGTGTTTAAACCGAACATCAGGATGTGAATAAGTATTTTCTTGTAGCTGGATTGAAACAGAAGACCAAGAGCCAATCTCTCTGAGCTCTTAAAATACGTGTAGTTCTTCCTTCAGATACAGGCAGTGCCATCGGCTGCTCTCGCTTGGCTTTGGGGAGCTGGGGTCATGTAACACAGATGGGCATTCACTCTTTGCAAGAGTACTTGACATGGTTGTTTTGTTTTCTTAGCACTTCACAGACATTTATAAAACTCCATTCAAACATTGATGTTTACGTATTTGGCTCATTTGATTCATGCTTTAAAAACTGGGTTTAAAAAATTGCTTCTATAACTTCATTTATCAGAAGGCAATAGCAGGTTTTTAATGACTTCACCTGATAATGAGCACTCTTGGAAACCATAAGACACTGCTGAAGAAGTATCTCAGCATGAGTTTTTCTCATAAAATGCGTGTAATAAATCATTCAATTTTGCCCACAAGCTACTGTATGCTGGGAAAAGGTTTGAAACCCTACTTCTAAAACATTTCTGAAGGCAACTGACAGTTGGAGTAATACATACAGTTAAAAAACCAGAGACACAGTTACACCTTCGGCTGAAAAGCTCACACAAGTTGACATTTGGGCAACTGCCATTAATTTACTTCCCCATTATTACCCAGTGATTTTTGACAGTTTCTGTCTACAGAGGCTTCATACCTTTTTTCCAAATGCACATTCAATACCAGTAAAAGGGAATTTGGTAGAAAATGTCAGAATTCAACTTCATTGTTTACTAGAGAAAAATATATTTATTTTTTTTAAGAGTCAAACTGTGAAATCAATTCCAGCTTCTGCATAAGGAACAATTCAGTATGTGTAATACTATTTTCCTCTCAATTAGCACTCAGCAAAATTGCACATTTCAGGGAACTGAAATATACAGTGTCTCTTATTATGTTTATAATAATAGACATTTGGCTCCAAAAAGATTATTGTAACCTGAGGAACTTGCAGACAACAAGAAACAAAGGGAAGGCATAAGAAAAAGCAGCAGAAATGAAACATCTCATTAGAGAAGTAATCTTAAATGCTATTTAACTCAACTGACCTTTCACCTATTTACTTTTCAGTCAGTTCATCAGTTCATTGCTCTTCTGTGTCACAGACTCAACTCTAGCAGAAAATCAAGGGTGGGGAACAATTTCAGGAAAGGTTTTGTGAATTATAAAATCATTGCTTAGGCTGATAAAAAAAGCTCTGCAGGTGGAACAGACTGAAATAAGCCTACTAGTGGGAGATGGGAAAGTCAGAGGGACTTTGTTAGAGCTGTCAGAAGGTATCACAGAACAAGCAGGGAAAGGAAAACCTTCGTTAAGAATCTACAGAAGAGGGAGATGAGGAGGAATCTATGGAAGAGGTTAGCAGAAATTGTGCTTCTATTCTAGATGCCTAAGACACCAAGTACCCTGCAGAGCACACATATTTAAAATACATATGCTTCTGCTCACTTCCTCAGGCACAAATTTTATTCATGCTGAACAGCTCTGTTGAAAAAGTTGCAAACTACCAGAGCTCCATTGCAGCCATCCCTGACTGAGGATAAGAATAGGATTGGTGCCTGGGAGAAGAGAAACAGCTGGGAGATGACACAGAGTAAGCAATTACTTTTACAGATGCATCATTTCAGATCTCACCAGTCAAAGGAAGCAGTTCTGAGTGCAAAGCACAGATCATTTCAGTGTCACACACGGCTCGCTGAGCACACGGGTTCCGCAGCAGACTTCCCGCTGGCCACTCGGTGGGTAAACACTCTTCCAGGCACACTACAATTGCCATCCTGTTTGTGTAGTTTGTTGTGCATATATGCCAACTATGATGCAAGCTGGGGGGGGGGGAATAACCTAACAGTTAACAGTTCATCCAAACTCTTCCTTTTAGGTTACAGTGAATTCTGTATTTTGAAAACATCTTAGTCCACAGGGCCAGTTTAATTGGAGACGCTCCCGACAGTGCTGGCACAGTGCTGGGTGCTGTGGCCATCCTTGCACCATCTGTGCCACTCTGAGTGGAGTTAGTTTACAGCTGGCCACAGATTAACGCCACTGTGGGAATGTGGGCCATAGGGTAAAGTGCACTGGAAGGACCTGTATTTGCTTGCCTAAAACATTTTTTTTTAAAGCAACTTCAGCTGGCAGCAGCATTCTGCACAGGAGCAGCACACAGGGCAATGCAGGACACACAGGACCTGCTTTCACTGGCACCTGTGTCAACAGTCCCATCAACTGCCCTGGGAGTATCCTTGTGCCAAAAGGCAACATGTGAAGGAAAGATTCCAGGGGTCTGACTTTCGGCACAGAAATACTTCCTGCCATGCTTCAGTGCACTGCAGCATCACGTTCCTCCTTGCTCAGTCTGCATTTAAGCAGCAGTAAAGAGTTCTCCAATTCCCTCCCCAAAGTCTTCTGAAGGTTAATGCCTACTGGGTGCCTTAAAATATTTGGATGAGAAAGGGCTGTAGTAGCAAACAGGGTCATTGAAGCATTCTGATGAGAATTTCTAGCTTGATTTCCTAGAATAAAACTGGCCAAGCTTCCCCTTCAAATGAGGGGGATGGGGCCACGTCCCCAGACAGAAGCTCACTTTAGCAAAGAGAGACCCAAGTTACACTAATGTTTCTTTCCCTTCCCTAATGAAAAAAAAAATAAATCAAGAACGGTATCCAAAATCACCTTTTTATTGCCACTTATACAGATTTCAATACTGAACATTCAGATAAACAACTATCTGTGTTTATGTAGTTTGTTATTAGCTACCTCACCATAACCTGGCAGAATCTCCCCTTCCAACTTCTGTAGGATTCCCTCTGGCAGATCCTGAAGTATTCACTCTGCATGTTGGCATCTCACACCAAAAAGAAATTCTTTTTGAGTGAACTATATGGTGTTTGATGAAAAAATTATTACACAATGTAGGCTTGCACAATAAGTCACATTTTTTGCAAAATAATTTGAAGATTACAAGTAAGACTTCTCTCTTTTATTCAAAAAATAAATATATCCTTTCTGAATCAAAGCACTTCATATGACATTAAGTACAAAGAAGAAATGTACTTCTTTGGAAGTTCTGAAATAGACATACAAGAGCTCACAGGAGCAACATTATCCGTAACACTGATAAAAGCTGAAAGCTGATTTTTTACAAATTTATAGCAGAACACGATTTCCTTTGACAATATAGAGCTTCAAACAGATTTAAGAAAAACACCATTTTAAAAGTCTGAAAGGCACATGAACTGGACCATAAAACGTACTGGCACATTCACTAATACGTTTTATGTTACATTCCTAAAGAGAATCCGCAGGACCCTGACCAAGAGAAAGACTGAAAATACCAGCAAGTTCCTTTGTAAAGAACTAAAAGAGTGGCAGAGAGTTTCCTTTTGGCTCTTGGTAAAATTATTAATACCCCGAAGCTACGAAGTCTGAAAAGCTGCATCATTCAGTTGTATTTGGACGAGTTGCTACATAAACAAACACAACAATCAGCAGTACCACGACAGCCAGCGTGGGAAGCACAACAGTGGTGATTTGTTGCCGGGCCTCTTGCATTGCCTGTTTTCTCTCCTTTTTATCTTTGGAGGTCTCTTTTTTGGGTTTTCCTCTTAGCTGCCTCATCCTCCTCTTTGGATCTTTTGTTCACCGAAATGTGGGAGCAAAGGGAGTGGAACAGCAGAAAATAGTCCAAGGTTTTTCAAACAAGAGATTGAAGAATTCCTTCTCCTTCAAGTGGTTGGCTGTGCAAGAAGCTGGAAGAGAAAGAAAACAATTCTTTGGAGCAAGATCTACATATATTCCACTTACCAAAATCATTTGCAGCTCCACTTGGTAAATCTTTTATCCACAGGCACCAGTGTAGCTTCTTTCAATGAAACAGAACCACAATGTGCTCGCTCAGCTCACCCACGTAACAGCTTCTCCATAAAAGCTAGTGCAGTTCATCATGGTGCCCAGGAGCACTGAACCTTTGTTAAGCCAGAAACAAAGCCCAGCACAAAACACTTTTTCCTCCGAGGCAAAGAAGGTAACAGTTAATGAAAATAATATGAATTAGCCTTGAGTCAATACAAGGTACCACCTGCCCCTTCTTGAAACAGCAGCAGGCTCCCTGCTCAGGGGCTGTGACTCCCCACAAACCTGCAACACCAGGCAGGGTAAGCACATCCCCTGCCACGAACACTTATCATCCGCAACAGGTATTTATTGGAATAAAGGGTACTCTAACAGGAAGAAATGGGGAGAAAGAGCTGCTTAATTTAATACTTCTGGTTCTGCTGCCACAGAACAAAGTCTAAATCATAACATGACTCAGTGCTGTCACTCTTATTGCAGCTGCCCTTGATACAAGAAAAAGAGCCCAAGCAATAACCAACCTGCTTACAAATCACTGGTGTAGACAAGCAGTCATTAATACAGTAGAAGGTAGTTGCTCTGAAGCATCTAGTAGACCAATTTTTAGAAGTAGAAGTATCAATACTGTGAGGTTAACAAAAACACAGCCTGGTATGAAAGCCTCTCTGAAATAAGGAGAATTAGTATGTGCTTAGTACTTCCATACCCAAAGTTTTTTTGCCCCTGCGCTGCCTACAGCTCTGCAATCCCCTGACTGTGCAGCGAGGGCGGATATCAGCCATTTGGCTATAATTCCTCTTCACCACATCCCCCAGTTCTGCAGCAACACAATAGCTGGACAGAGGCCACATATGTATCTCAACACAAACTTGGAGGGTAACAATTACTGGCGTCAAATACTGAGCTGAATTGAAAGTAAATGATGAACTCGTATTTTTCCATGACTGTAACATACTCAGAATGAAATGTATGTAGAAATTATTGGGTTACTGCAACTGCTTCTTTCCTTTCCCTCTCTTTATACCAAAATATAAAGATGATTTTAGTGTGTGCTGCTGTAGCTGAAGAGCATATACCAGTGAACAAGCAAAGCTGCAAAGCTCACTCAGTTCACCCCAGGCATGATTTCCTCTTCATGTGTCATCTTTGGTCAATGCTGTAAGTTGTCTTACGACTACTGTTTTAAAAACAAGAAGAGGTTTCACTGAAAGTGGGATGCTTTCTGTTGGTGTTACCACTCAACCTGATTTGTCAGCCTGACCACAAAAGCAAAACCGAACTAAAACATTCACACACAGAACAAAAATCCTCACCTACAGGTTATGTGCAGCTACAAAGGAGTTTTCATCCCTTCTCAAAACAGCAGCAACCTGCCTGCTGTGAATTTCATCAGGCCAATTAAGTTGGTGAGATACTGCATCATTTAAGGTAAAATGTGGAGTAACTCTACAAACTTGAACTGATGGAAGTGACCAGACTATCAGAGCAACTGTGTGGTATCAGAAAACCAAAAACAAATCAAAGCATCAGTGTGTCTGGCTTTATATGGTCCTTCCTAGGTACAACCTGAAGAAACAAACAAAAAAACAAAACGACAATAAAAACCCACTCCCAACAAAGAAAACCTCGGCCATGACACCATCTTGGTGTCCAGCTGGATTCATCCCTTCTGCATCCCCTGCACACACAGCTTTCAGGCAGTTGTTTTCTGATCATAAACTCTGCAAATTCAACTTGCACTTGGAGGCAAACCCTTTGTTTCAGTTTTGATAAAGCACAAAAGGGAAATTTTGGTGCTTGGGATATTTTTCAAAAGAGGAAACAAAGTTGAAGTCTTGAAAAGTATCAATTCCTTCTGCATACTGCAATATTAGAATCGAAGTATGTAAAAGTTTTAGAGACCAGAAGTGGTCAATGAACTTTGTGATGGGGAGGTAAACAGGAACTGGATGGAGTGACTACACAACACCCTGTTCCAGTCTTTTAATCAAATGGGACTGTTTCATTTTTAAACTTCCATAACATTCTTCTGAGCAAATCCTCAGCTTTTGGTATTCTGCCCTCTGCAAGATATGGGTTTCTGGTTTGGTTTTGGTTTTTTAGCACTTCTCCAACTCTAGAATTTCCTCTGGGGCAAAAGAAATTTGTTTTACCCCTTCCATTTCCATTCTCTTTCCTCCTGCTCTGATCACAAGCTTTGTTACCAAACTCTAGAAAAACTACTATGCAAAATAAAGTTTTACATTTGTGCTTTGGGATAATTAGACTATCAGAGCATTTCAGGCTGTAATTTTGTATTGTTTTCTGTCTCCAGTGTTAATGGAAGTCAGTGGGTTTTGTATTCGGATTACTCACAGGACCCAAGAAGTGACAGACAGTAAAAGCCTTTGGGACTTCCTGTGTACCATAGTAACAAAGAGGAGTTGCCATGAAACCAATCTCTTCAACAATAAATGTATGCCTTGCTCTACACAGCATCACTCGCCACCCAGACATTAACACCATCAGGATGTTTTTTTAAGTCTCTTCTGAATATTTCCTTCTGAAACAAAATGATACCCAGTTAATTATATACACTAGCTAACATCTGACAGCTCAGAACAGAAAGCCTTCCTGCAAATGTCAGCACCACTTGAATCGCAAGCTGATGCTCTCAAGTTTGGGAATCTGGCATCAGTCTCCAAATATGTTTCCAGTAGATTGGGTTACTTGGCTTTGCTACTGGCAGAGATGGACTCACACAGAAACTGGCCCACAGTTTTCAGAGAAATGAGCCTTAGGGTTCATCCTAACAGAACCATAAAATGGAAGCACTGAATCTCTGCATGTTGTTGCCAGGTTCCTGCTGCCGCCAGCGCCCGGCCGTGACTGCCAGGATTGGACAGTTGCTGCAAGAGACAACACTTCCTCACAGGAAAAGACCGGAACGTTGTAGATGTTGCCATGTTCATCTTGGTATGAAACAGCACTGAAAAACCAGCACTCAGTTGGGTGAGAGGGAATTCTACAGCCCGTGTTGTACAAGCACAGTAAGAATGCCACAGCTCTCCCCTTCCACTGCCAAGCCTCTTACCAGCCCCCATGGGCTTCACTGACTACTGAAAATTATGGGAAGAAACAAACAGATCCATAAAGCATGCCTAGACAGGGACAGGATTACAACACTAGGGTCTTGTTCCCTGTGGCATGCACAGCTCATGAGAACAAATTATCTGACATTACTGAGCTACATCCTCCTTCAGCCAGTAATCACCCTGCTTCGGCACTAGGAAGGTTGGACTCAAGTGAAGAGAGGAAGGAAATAATACAGCATTGGAATGAGTGTAATCAACAGTCTAGTTAGCACTGCCCATTTAAAATACCTCAGAGCAAGTTGCTATCAGAAGGTCAATGAGAAAGTATGTCCCACAGGTATTTCAACACTGTGCAAACTCTAACCTTTGATCAGCTGCAGAAGAACTGGAAACTCACCTTACATCCTCAAACACAAGCTCAAAGTCTCCTTTTCATTCCAGTCTCCCGCAAACAGGAGAGGCTCACTGCTGCACTGTACGTGTCCTCCTAAGGCTGCTTCCCATTTCCACTGACTGTTCATCTGTTCCAGGCATCTGCCATGGCTGGAAATGATCACCAAACTAGTTCAACTACTGCTTTAACTGGAAAGTCAGCAACTCCCTCAACTGGGGACATAAGTAGAACAGCAAGAGAAGGGATGAACACACTCCAGCAAAAGCGGCGTATCTCAAGTCCACAACAGCCTAACAGCAGTGTGGCACTAGCAAGAGACTCTAACTTCACCTTCCTTTTAAGAAATCTGCAACTTGATAATAAAATTACATGGGGTGAGGAGATTATTTTGAAGGTCACTATAGCAAAGTTTCCCCCTGAAGCAGGAACCTGCAGGCTAGAAAGAAACCACCTTGGTTGCCAAGTCAAGAAAATGTAGGTTGACTTGGTGTAGTCATTTGCAATACCCATTTCACAGAGCCTACTTCGCTGGGACACTGCAAGGCTCCAGCTTGACACTGAAATCTAAGGTTTCAAGCAGAACAAAACATTAACAAGTTCAAGCTCCTGAAGAGAAACCTAAAGACATTGTTCTCAACAAAACAAAAATTTCACAAATTTAGTACTCTGGCTTGCCTACCAGAGCAATTACATTCCCCCTTGCCCATCACCCACATTGCTTTTTGTATACAAAAGTGCTCTTCATTCTATCCTGTGGGTTAAGTTACGCTGAACTGTTTTTGCAGAGCTAACCTCAAGGCCTAAAAGCATGAATCAGGGCACTTGCTGAGGTCACTCACACCAATGCTGAAGCATTTGCCAGCATCTTAAAACAAGTCAACTGTAGCTAAGAAGGGATAATTTTGTACTAGGAGGCTACAGCAGAACCTGTAGGAACTGGTATCCTTAAAACATTACAACAATCTTCCAAACAGAATTCATGGCAGTCTTCAGTCTCCTTTTTTTGATAAAATTAACCCTGACTCTTAAGAATCTGCAATTAAAAGCTCATCACACCCCACATGGCTATTCCTGCAACCCTTGAATGGCAGCCTTGACTCCAGCTACACAAAGTGCTTGTGGAGTATCACAAGTTGCATATCCTTCTACATGCAACACATGCACAAAAGAGTCTGTTTATCTGCACTTAGCGTAATCACACGTCTCAATGTCTAAAGAACTTATTATCACCATCCTACAGCTTGAATGATTAGCCACATTAAACTGACTAATTTTACTCCAAATCCAAATTTACAAGTGTTTGCAAGCCAGTTTGGATGAACCTGGCTTCATGATCCTGCTACTGACACTGCAACATTTCTGGAACAGCAAAATAACTTGAAATTCAAAAAATCTGACAAAAATTAATTTTTATAACTTAAATTTTCCC